TCCTCATGTTGTGGTGACCCCCAATTTCATTGTTACAAATTGAACATAATTAAAGCATAGTGATTAATCACAAAAACAATATGTAATTATATGTGTGTTTTCTGATGGTCTTAGGCGACCCCTGTGAAAGGGTCACGACCCACAGGTTGAGAACTGCTGCCTGGGGGATGAGAAGATGGCAGTGGATACTGAATCCCCAAAGTCTGAAGATGGGGTGTCCCACTGAGCCAGTGTGTTTGAGCATTGTGTCAAAGGTAGCCAAGGCTTAATTTTACGGGGAAGTGGCAGCCACTTTTTCAAATTGTGTTTTAGTAGTGGGCCTGCACTAAACTGAGCTAACGTTACTCCTTACATTTATTTAGTTATTTAGTTATTTAGTTATTTATTTAGTTATTTAGTTATTGAGAGTGGAAGGGAGGGAGAGAGGCATAGAGAAACATCCATGTGAGAGAGATACCGCTGAGCTAAACTGACTAGGGCAGTCCTTGTTTTTATTAAACTCCTTTGTCTCTTGCTTACAGAGCTCTCTGGCCGAGACGTTGGATAGCACTGGCAGTCTAGACCCCCAGAGATCGGACATGATTTACACCATAGAAGACGTCCCTCCCTGGTACCTGTGCATATTTCTGGGGCTGCAGGTAAGATGGTTCCTTTAGGATGTAACCACCAGCAGATGCTTGAGTTCTCTGTCTGGATGTTTTATAAATTCAGTGTTGATTTTGATTTATTGAGGACTTTATTATAAACTAGAGGCCCAGTGCACAAATTAGTGCACGGGTGGGGTCCCTCTACCTGGCCAGTGATCGGGACTGTCTCGCCCAGTCCCAATCGCGGCCAATGGGGGCCAGCCAGCCGGGGCGGGATTGCAGGAGGTTGGCCAGCTGAGGGAGGGACCGCGGGAGGGCTCCAGGGCGTGTTCGACCATCTCACCCAGACCGCATCGGCCAAACCCTTGCAGCAAGCTAACCTACTGGTTGGAGCGTCTGCCCCCTGGTGGTCAGTATGCATCATAGCGACTGGCCGAGTGGTTGACCACTTAGCATATTAGGCTTTATATATATAGACTAGAGGCCTGGTGCACGAAATTGGGCCTGCACCCTATCCAATCTGGGACCCCTTGGGGGATGTCCGACTGCCACAAGGATCGGGCCTAAACCAGCAGTCGACATCCCTCTTATGATCTGGGACTGCTGGCTCCTAACCGCTCGCCTGCCTGCCTGCCTGATCGCCCCTAACCGCCTCTGCCTGCTGGCTGATCACCCCCTAACTGTTCCTCTGCTGGCCTGATCGCCCCCAACTGCCCTCCCCTGCCACCTGATCACTCCCAACTGCCCTCCCCTGCAGGCCCGATTGCTCCTAACTGCTCTCCCTTGCTGGACTGATCGCATCCCTAACTGCTTGATCCCCTGCCAGCCTGATCGCCCCTAACTGCCAACTCACAGTCACAGTTAGTTCTGCCATGAAACATGGGCGACACTGAAAAATGCCATGTTGGCCAGATTGTAACGGCATGTTTCAGTCTTTTTAAAGAAAGGCAAACTTTGCCAGAGAAGCAGCTGCTTTGTCTGCTGTGGCTTCCAGTGGGAGCAGAGCAGGGACGCTTCCAAGGGAGGGAGTGGAATGGGGCTGGGCTCCTACGTTTTTGGTGCTTTCCCTCATCTCAGCACCCTCTTCCCACTTACGGACTGAAGTGGCGCTCCAGAGAAAGGGGACAAGACAGGAAGCTCTTCTCTAGGATTCACACCCATGGCCTGGGTTTGGCTTGGTTGTTTTAGCCGTGTGAAAGCCTGACCTGCACGGCTAGGGTTCAGGACCTAGAGAAGGGCTGCGCACAAATGACGAGACTAGACAAGAAGTATGAATTTGGATATCACGGGGGGCCGGGCCGTGAGCCATTCTTTAGTGGGAAGGCTTCCCTGGTGCCCAGGCCCGGCCAGCCTTGTATTCAATTTCAGATGCACATACTGCCCTTATCAGGCAGCAATCCTGGCAGCACACAGATTGTCTTAAAGGTCAGTAAATATTAGTAAAGATTTACTTTGAGACTATTAGGTCAGGAAATTGCTTGAGCTACCATTGTCTTGACAGAACAATGATGCATAGCTTTAGCCCTTGCCAAAGCTCAAGGTCCTTCAGCCTTCTGGGTTCCTTGTTTGCACTTTTCTGATAATGTAGACCAGTGGTCGGCAAACTGCGGCTCGTGAGCCACCTGTGGCTCTTTGGCCCTTGAGTGTGGCTCTTCCTAAGCCTTAGGAGTACCCTAATTAAGTTAATAACAGTGTACCTACCTATATAGTTTAAGTTTAAAAAATTTGGCTCTCAAAAGAAATTTCAATCGTTGTACTGTTGATATTTGGCTCTGTTGACTAATGAGTTTGCAGATCACTGGTGTAGACAATGGATAGCTTTCAGCATAGCCAGACTCTGTTCTCAGGTCTGACTTTCCATTCTTCATTTTTTTTAAGTTTGAATGACAGTTTAACCTGGGGTATTTCAGATGCTGAGAAACTCAGTCTCATTGCCCAGGCAGGTTTATGCACTTGGAGGTGAGGCTGTACCTGCCCCGACAGCTGATGCTTTGGTCTGGGTTTCCAGCCCTCCCGACCCCCTTTAGGTATCACAGCACTTGGTTACCTGACCTGAAAGGTGTCTAGTAAAGGAGAAGTCACGACCCAAGGAGCTGAGTGGTGGTGGGGATAATTTTCCTTTGGTTGAACATCCTGAAACAGAGTGAGGAGACTTGCTTTTTAAAATGTTTATATTCTAGGTGTTTCTAGAAGTGTTCCCTGGTCAAATGGGATTGGGAACCCTGCATGCATCATGCCCTTCTTGACGATGCACAATGTTCTTAAGCTTGTGAACATCCCTGAGAAGTCCTGGATGGGAATGTTTTGTTTCCTACATGAAACACCTATTAGTGTTATGAAATTTGGGCTTTATGGGCTGCAAGCAACACATTTTGGCAAACAGGAGCAGAGATGGGGAACTCTTGGGAATAAAATAGGGTTTGCCGAACAGAAGCAGGCACTGAACAAGCAGGCCCCTGGGAGGAAGGGAAGTGAGCACGGCTGCTAGGAATATCCTACTGGGAGTGGAGGTGGGGCCCCCAAAGGAGAGTGAGCTGGCTCTTTGTGGAGCATTCTTCAGCTCTTGTGTGACCTCAACCCTTCACTGATTGTTATGAAACAATGCCACCATAGAAAAGGCGGGGGGTGGGGGGATAGCTGGGGAAACACCCTGTGTAAGGAATTTTAACCCCCAGACCCATTATTTCAAGAATATTGTTTCAAGAACGGCTCCACGCAGAATAATTAACGTGCACAGATCAGAGGAGAAAGACTGATGATTTTAGCAATGGATACTGAAAAGCGTTTGAAAAACAGCAGGTGATTCCAGTAGGAATTGCAGGAGTGAAGTATCAGTAACATATGATTGCAGTAAGTGTTTCCTTTATGCTGACCTGGACTCATGTGAATAATAAGTAACGATACAAGTATAATGGAAATGTAATGGAAAGGAGAAATAATGAAAAAGAAATATGATTTGGTATATGATACTCGTGTGGACCTAAGCAAACCAAAGAGTTCCTTTTTTAAAAAACAAAACAAAACATTGGAGGGGTGAGTTAGGGTGAAATCAGAAAATAACGAGG